TGTTGATTTCTCCTCACCCAGGATCTGGCGATTGGGTCTCCTAAAAACTCCAGTCGCTCTTTAAAAGGGGAAGTATGTAAGGTATTTGTCCCGCCTTCCTAGCGTAATGGTTCTGCACGCTGGGCAGGTATTCCAGAGGTCCGTGGTTCGATTCCCGGCGAAGGCGTTTGCTAATTTTTCATCTCTCTTGCTTAAAAAAAAATCCTAATGTCTCTATTGTGGCACCCGAACTAAAATGGTGTTGGATGATGATTCTCCTCACCCAGTATTTGGTGACTGGGTCCCCTAAAAACCCCGGTCACCCTTTAAAAGGGGTAATATGTAATGTATTCCAGAGGTCCGTGGTTCGATTCCCGGCGAAGGCGTTTGCTAATTTTTCATCTCTCTTGCTTAAAAAAAAAAAATCCTAATGTCTCTATTGTGGCACCCGAACTAAAATGGTGTTGGATGATGATTCTCCTCACCCAGTATTTGGTGATTGGGTCCCCTAAAAACCCCGGTCACCCTTTAAAAGGGGTAATATGTAATGTATTTCTCCCGCCTTCCTAGCGTGCCTTCGTGGTGTAGTGGTTCTGCACGCTGGGCGGGTAAGGTTCGTGGTTCGATTCCCGGCGAAGTCGATTGCTAATTTTTCATCTATTCTGCTCCCAAAAATATACCTGTCTCTACAAAGTGTTGCCATACAATTTTTATATTCGCTACGTGCTTCCTTTAAAAATAATACAAGGCGATAACATTTTGTTGCAACATCCTTTTATCTATGTTTCCACACGTTTTTATATTCATATGTAATTTTTTTTAAAAATAACACGTGGGAATTACATTTGGTAAAAGCACCTTTTTATTAAAAAAGCGATACGGGCACAAAAGTGAGGATCGTGACGAACAGCACCTCTGGCGCTAAAAAAAAAAAAAAAAAAAAAAAAAAAAAAAAAAAAAAAAATGCAAATAAATTTAAAAAATAACAAGATTACAGAATGTTTGTTGTTGTTGTGAGTTCTCTCACTTATTTGACAGTAACATCAGAACAAGCCCATGAAATTCATCGTGGCAAGGAGTGCAAGATTGCGCCTGTCGTTGGCAAAAGCCTTGAGCACAATACAGGCGACTTTGCTCAGCTCCGCCCACAATTTTGAAGGAGGACCCCAGGAGGACGGTTTCGAGGGTCTTCCACCCCTATTCCCCTACCACTCGAGATACCAATCTCTCGAGACGACATTCGGCTCGCCACCTACTTAGAGTGCCCGTATGCCGCATAGACACTACATATTTACAAACATCCATGCCTTCTCCGGGATACGGACCCGAGCGCTATGGTTCGGGAGTCACTGTAGCTAAGCACTATCCCGGTTGGGCGGCACAGAACGTTTAAATGCCCCATTTACAGAATGTTTAAAAGCCCGTTAGGTTAAGTTAGGCTAACTGACGGCAAAGCAAATTTAAACTGCCTATGGGAATTAAAAACTTAAAAAGAAAAAACTTAAAAAGAGAAACTTAAAAAGGTGCTCCAAGAATTAAGAGAAACTCATTCGCATCGACATTACACATGCGAAAAACAGCGAAAACTCCTATACAGCCAGGCAGCTTCCTGGAATTTGAACCTACGTCGAACTATCTATGTCCAGCGACTTTACGCCTCAGCAGCTGGTAAACTCAGTACTACAACAGATCCTCGATTACCGAACAGCGATTATCCAAATCTTTGTTTACCCAAATTAATTAAAGTTTATGTGAATAGTTTTCAACGAATCGGGATAAATTAAGGAATAAGACAAAGGTGTGATCTGAAATTCTTCCAAATCTTTGATCTCCATTCTCCGATTAATCAATAATTTAGGTATAAGTTTTTTTCTGTTCCGCCCTTCCCCCGATTTATCTTAATCACCGTTATCCTATCCTGCCGCCATACCACTGATTTAAACAATTATTTCTTGTTACTACGAGTATTAATATTATTCAGTCTCCTTCAGTATTTGCAAACGACAGAAAAAACGTCTCCCGTAAATGTATCATTCTTCATTACAGCACCAAAGTGGAAAATAACTGCGTTTATGATCAAACACAAGTTAACAATAACCAGTAGTTTCTAACGCATAAAAGGCGAAGCAGCCAGTGCATAAGCTACGGATTACAAAATGGCATTATATCATAAAATTACGTAAGATTATAAAATAAAAAATTACACATATTTTTCAGATTAATTTTATGTTAATTTCATTAAAAAATACAGATCAATGTTGAAATAAAATGCTTAATTCTCAAAAATAAAATTGTGTTTATGTAAAATTAATAATATAATGTTCAAGAATAAATAATTTATTTAAAATCTTCATTAAATATGTATGTATGTTATGTGTGTACATACTATATAACATATATGTAATAAGATGACTTGGTGAAAGTAAGTTGCAACGGATTGACGATGGTTCTCAGCATTATAACTTCAAGAGACTTTACTGCATAGTTAGAAGGATGACACTCCAAGACAGACATGTAATAGAAACAGACTTAGAAGCAATAAAGAGCAGGAATTTTGATGACGTAGAAATGCTGATCCATAATGAACACAGATTGGCACCCGAGGCACTCCATTTTACGTTCAGTAAACGTATTGCGGCTACAAACAACTTGGCACATTATTTGTGCCAATTTCAAGAGTTTTACATTTTTGATAACTTTGCAGCAAGAAGGAAGCAACAGACAGCAGTCCAGCTAGTAGCGAGCATATGTGTTAATTTTCAAGGTGAAATCTTAATTCAGACTGAGTAAGTTTTGGTTCTCAATACATTCTAATTGGATAATTAGTACTGCTGTAAAATTATTATTGGCATTTACATCATCAGAATTATGAGTCATATGACATGGATTAATCTCGAAATGATGCAGTGCAAATAGAAATTACTATTTTTAGAATACAGACGGGAAATTAATTTACGTTGCTAATTTAAATTATAATTTATCTTTTACATATTTTTTTGTATTTTTCTTACACATGCATATATACATGTGTGTATGTATGTAATGACGCAGACATAGATGTAATGATATAGGTATGTTTATTTTTGTTTCAATTAATACTTTGCGGCCGCAGTCAAACTGGCACACTAATCGTACCTTTTCAAGAATATTTACGTTTTTGATATTTTGCAATAAGAACAAAGCAGTGAGGCAGCGTCTTAGCGAGAACAGAGGTAGAAGCGAAGTGCGCAGTTATCCAATATAGCAGCTTATTATGAAAAAGATTTCGGTTTTCGAAATTTTAAGTGCCGAATTAGTTACGTCATCATCGTTATGTAAAAGTCATATGATAGGATTAATTAGAAATGGCGCAGCCCAGAAAAAGTTATTACTATTTTCAGAACAAGAATTAAAATAAGGAATTTAGGGGCTATTGCTAATTTAAGCTGTAATTTTGATTTACATAATTTTTATCTTTCATATCCCTTCCCATTCAAAGCGAAAAAGGCTTAGCGACAGACAGGGATGTCTCCCATATGCAAATGTAGGCCTGACCTCCGTCCCTTTTATTTCATTAAATGTAAGGTTTAATGAAAGCAATCCATAATAAAAATTCGTTTCGTTAATAAATTCGTTTCCTACATTTTAAATTCGAAAAATCATTAATTATCTGTTCAAAATCAACTGTTAATAATATTACATTTTCGGTACTCATCAAACTTAAATTATTCACATACGATTTCTCAATTCATTTTTGGCCAGTTTGAGTTTTGGAAATGAACGCTCACCACTTGCGTTAGTAATCATCATCGACAAGAAAGTTCCCATTCCAATATTTAGGAACACTGTGAAGAGTCTTTAATTATAGATGTATGTATAAAAAGTTTGTTGATACCAATTCTAATCTCCTCCATCCAACAACTGTTCTTTTTCCGCATTTGTAAAATTATATTTTCTCATGAATCTCCTTTCTTCCATGTCTTCTCTTTGTTTTTTCTTGTTTTTCGCCATCAATGATTAGATGTATTTGAAATGTTGACGTTCCAAATTCAGTTCCTCCCCTCTTTATTATAAAATTTCTATATTTTCTTGCACGCTACTGCAATTTCGCTCTCATCCAAATTACAATTTTTTTCAAAAAACCCAAGCAGTTCTAATACTTCTTCGTATTTTTCACTGCGTTTTTGTATGTTGTAAATTAGACAGTCGATTATTGGTAAAACAGTTTATAATTTAAATTTCTGGCTGTGGTTGCCTTCAAAAGTTACGTCTGTGCCTTTATCTCCTTCAAGGAAAGTTACCCTAGTACTGCGTTACCTTCTACACTTTAGAACATTTTGACACTCTTTTTATAAAGGATTATTCTCTTGGTTTTTGACTTCTAAAAATCAAAAGAGTGTCTTTTGGTTTTTATATAAGTCATTAAAGATTTAAAAAATTTTACTGTTTTTAACAAATCCAGAATTTACTTTGGACGAATAAATTCATTTTGTCAATACGAGTCAAAATCTCATTCGAAAAGATAGTTAAAAAAGAAGTTTCCAATTCACACATCTTGTTTCCCAAGTTCTTTTTGCAAAAAGTCGGGTACCCACTGCCTGTGATTCATCATTAATTAAACAATCAAGGTTCATGACGATTTCTGTATATCCTTCGCGTAAAGCTCTAACTGCATCGCGTGCAGACCAACCTCCTTTTGATAAGCTTTTCAATACATTTTTATTTTTATCAAAATTCAAATTTTAAGTCAGTATATCCAAACGATGGGTTGACGATGAGCAAAAATTGTAGAGATTTTGAACAAAAATCGAAGTAAATCGTTACATTAGAGTTACATTCACTGCTTGAACACCAATTAAATTCAAAGAATGTCCTGAACACGGTACGTATACAGGGTATTTATTCTTTTCTTGAAGTCGGGCTTGAAATCCTGAATATTTTAGAGACATATTCCGAGGCACTGTTGTATGATTTGACCTCTACAATCACTGAGTGAAATGTTGTTATTTTCCAAAAATGAAACCACAACATCCATCAGATACTCTGAAGTATGTCCACAAATATGAATAAACTGCAAAGATCTCTCAATTGGTGCACCAGTATTTCAGTGACGATAGTTGCCAGGTCTTTTGACGCCATGACTTCTATGCATTCCTCACAAATTGTATCAGATATATAAGAGGGGTTACTTTTCCCAGAATTGCCGTACTTTTTTATATCATCATCCCAAAACGAATCAAACTTACTTAGAAGTTTCAAATTTCCATTTTTCACAGAACCAATAGTTTCATTTTCCCTTCTGAAAGGCACTCCTCTTAAGTTTATAACGGCCACTATTCTCTTCAGCACTTCTTTCCTAGTAATGACATTCATCATTGAATTGCATATGATAAGTTGTCTATCTACACGACTAGATAACTGTAAAGGACTGTCATAGCTCATCATACATTTTCTGTATTCAGGTTCTAGGGTTTTTCTTGTTTTGCATAACAATTATTTTAAGTTTGACACCATTCCTGAACCTCTTATTTTCCTCTCACATTTCTTCGCCACGATGCAAATTTAAAGTGAAGTGAAGTGAGTATTTAAACGGGTGTAGTTTATTCAGATCCTAAAAGGTGAGTTTTCTTATTCTGAAACGAATCAAACTTACTTATTTGCATGCTTCCAGTCATTGCATGCAGCCGTCACGCAGTCGCTAATGCCGTATGTAGAATTGATAGATGAAAACTAAACAACTTACAGTACAGTTTTCCTTGTGACGGAGAATATATTAGCTATTCGTGGGCTACAACCTCACCATTATGTAACTCTTTCTTGAACAAAATCGCAGAAAAGTATAATGTTTTAGTTTTATAATTTCGTTTGTTACATATACATGCTGATTTTTCAAAATCATTATGTTTGTTGGAACAAACTGACGGACCTTTCTAAACACAGTATCACTATAAATTCCTGTCGATATATGAAGGCCATAACCTGGATCTGTACTTTCAGGAAAAATATCTGAAATGTCCATACCTTCATCAGTTATTGTACTTATTTCAGTAGGTTTTATTGTTTCTTCTTCAACACTTAAATAGTCTGTTTCTCGCTGTCCCTGTTCTTAAACTTCAGGTTGTATTGTTGGATATATTAGTAGAAATGGTAGAGGTAGATGTACACTGGTGTGCAAAACTTAAGCAACAGGTGTTCTTTTTTACATAAATCCACGAGATATCATCTGAGAGACATGAAATTCAGAAATAAGAGACAGCATTTTGTATTTAAACGATGACGAAAGCATAATTGCGCAAAAAAGAATATAATGCGTAGAGTATGGAATTAAACAAAAACAGGCTTTATTGAACTCATAGTATTGTTACACATGATTGTCTGTATAAGAGGAAGAACAACAAGCAGATGTTCTTAGTATGGGATATGCCCTACCCTTACTGCAATGGTTGCTTCTCACCGTCTCCCCACACTCAGCACCAGATTGTCCAACAGATCTTGAGGTGAGAGTGCCCATTCCTCGATCAACATCTGTTTCAGTTGTTGGGTGTTCGCCGGAGGATGTAATCGTACCTCAAGGAGTCTCCCCAAAGCATCCCATACAAGTTCTATGGGATTTAAATCAGGGGAGTACGCTGGCCAATCCATTCGAGTGATATCTTCACTTTTCAGTAGTTTCTGAGCAGCAGGAGTCTGGTGTTTTCGTGCACTGTCATCCATAAAAACGAAGTCTGGTCCAACTGCACCTCGGAACAGACGCACATAGGGAAGGATCACCTCCTGACAATAGCGACCTCCGTTACAGAACTTCTGTCGAAAATGTGGAGCTCTGTCCGCCCGTTCAGCATAATGCCTCCCTAGACGAGATCTCCAGGACACCGTAATGGTCTCTTTCCGTGACGTTACTAAGATTAAACCGTGTCCTTACCTCTCTCCAAATAAGTTGGCGTTGAGAATCGCTTGGGGCACTAAAACGACTTTCATCCGCAAGGAGGACACCATTGATGAGATGCCTAGTTTTTGCGCTCCTTGAACCACTCTAAACGGTTGCGCTGATGGCCAACTTTCAAAGGGATGCAGTGTTCAGGACGGCGGGCGAGTAAGCCATCTTTGTGAATGCGTAGAGTATAATGCGTAGAGTATGGACACAGTAAACCACGACAATTATCGCCGTTGCTGTACACAGTTGCTGAGCTGTGGAGCTTGTTGACTGGTTTTGGGCTCTTTTCGCCTGTACTACGATATATCGGTTATCTGCTACATTTGTTGTCCTGGAGTGGCCACCACCAACCTTTCTAATAGCTGTGTACCTATGGTTTGGAAAGCTTTCCAAGCCCGTGAAACGACACTTTTGTTGGTCACACTACGCCATCCTCCAACTTTCCGATCATTCTTCCACTCGTGAAGTCATCCAGATGATTTCTAGCCATATTTCACGAAAGATTTCACGTGTACTTGCAGAGAATGTCTTTAATTGCGTCTTCATCCTTCCTTTTATGGTAGTCTCAAGTGGAGAGCACGCGTTTTGCGTACGATGACGTAGCCTGTGATGTTTTTTTCCGGACATTTGCATATGCATGACCTTTCTACTGAATTGCGTGTTCATTGCACCGATAGAAAGAACCTCTTTTCTGCAACTGCATAGTTATCTGATTAAAATTTGCATTGTTGCTTAAGTTTTGCACACCAGTGTAGATGCAAAATTTGTATTAATGAAAAACTGGGTCATCTTTGGTAATTTATCAATACATTTCTCCTTTACCATCAACTTTTTACGTTTCGCTGCTTCACTTTCAAAATGTTTCATTCAGACTTGTCCTGAATCTGGAATAGTTAAAATAAATGTTGAAAGTAATTATGATGGTTAACTTTGTACTTACCTATAGATTTTAAGTACACAATATTATACGCTGTCAAATACTCGTACAAACGCTAACCCGTAATAAATGTGTGTGACTCACATCTCAGAAACCGAATCGACAGATTGCCGCTTTTCGATTAAATGAGTAATGATAGTATATGGCGGTAGGACAGGCCTAGACACGGACAAAGTACAAGACATAATAATGTAGTCTTGCCACTGTTGCGAATTAGTATGCTGTTGGAAATTCCCAGTTTTTTTAAGAAAATTTACGAGAACAGAATTTATCGATTAAAATTATTAGCATCATGACATTACTGAAGCCGAGTCATAAACCAGACAAGCCCCTCTCAGACCCGTGCCGTAAAACGTCCCTGGCGACAGAGAAAGAGGAAAAGCGTTAAAGAAGTAGCAAATGAAAAGAAATATAATTTTGGAAAATACAAATCATAAAATTTTGACCAACTTAATGATTTAAATAATTGCAGAGTGTAAACTTTGATAATATTTTAAGAGTTATATTAAATTTTCAGATCAAAAGTCTTCGTGTTTTAGAATCCACATAATCACATTTGTTCAGGGAAGGCTTTTCAAAACTTTTCATATATTATCACAGATATAAAAAATTTAAGTACTCCTTACTTATTTTTAAATATAATCACAATAAATTTCAAAATTTAATAACATACTAATTTCCATATTTAAAAAATACGTTTTAACATCATAAGCATAGAAGTAATATTGTTGAAATTATGGTTTCACTGTTATTGTCTCATTTCTTATTTTCTATTTTGCACAAACTGGAAGAGCCCATAGCTTTCACCAAGTACGAACTTTTCCATCTATTTGGGCACATCCACTAACGGATGCATTAATATTTATTTGTGGTTAAGAGATGCTCGAAATTGACTTAAAGGTCTCGTTCATTGCATAAGGAATTTTGTGAATTGCACTAATACATACTAATAAAGAAAATATAAAATAATTATAATATTTTAAAAATTGCTGTCAATCATAAAAGACAGCCTTCAACATTATCTTGCATGACGATGGTACGAGGAACATTTCTACAGATGTAAAAACAGGCTTCTGTTTTTGTATCAGTGCTCACTCAACAGACTGCATTTTAGAATTAATTAATTACTTATAACATTTATTTACCATAATCCCAAAGTAATTTTTTCTACAAATTTTACTTTTTCAATTACATTACTCATATAAATTTTGTTACAGTTATTAATTTCTCAAATTTTTAATTATTCACTATTGATCATAACAGTACTCAACATTCTAAACTTTGTCTATTTTCATCATTATACTTAAGTTTACCATATTCTATATTAATTTTTCAAAATTATTTCATTCATTTATTTAACTCATTCTTAAAACATTTATTAAATTCTTAAAATTCAATTTTTCGAATAATAATCTCATTCTTAATTTAATTCCAAAATCCTTTTTTAGGTTTTTAAAACAATAATTCAAAATTAAAATGATTTAATACCGTAATATTTTAATAACCTTCCCTAAATAAAATAATTAGAAAATTTTAAATTCGTTAATTAATTTCATTAAGCATAACTTTGAAAAATTAAATTATTTGATACTATAAAAGTTTAATTAACTATAAAAGTTTAATTATCTTCCTAAAATAATACTAAATTTTTAAAATCCAGTATAATACGAAATCAGCATTAAATATCAGCAATTTTCTACATGATGCTAATATAATTCTAGCTGCACTAATTAGAACCTTACTAGACTCATAAAACACTTGATGTAAAGTTTTAAAATCCACAGCACTATTACAATTTTTTTTCCACTGAAAAGTGAACCTGATCTTAGGCTAATAAGTTTGAGTTTTCGTTTGACGAACTATGCGATTAAGAAATGAAGTGAAAATAAATTTCTGGCACACAAACCTTGAAGTATATCCTTTAAACAGAGATTCACTGAAACTAAAAACTTGGATACTGAAAGATCAAGAGCGATGTTTCATATGGACGCAGAGTAGAATTAAATGAGTAGTCATAGCAAATCTTCAATCCTTGTCGTTAGTTAACGCACTTCATTATCACACAGATGAGGTTTCCTCCCGCACTTACGTCATACAGTTAGACTAGATGTAATAGTGTAGATACATTGATTGCATTGCTGAAATCCATAATGAAGAGCAAGTCTGGCAGCCACGACAGATTAAAAATTCATTTTTTAAATTAAATATTTTGTGGCCAAAAATAAATTGGTACATTAACGTGCCGTTTGTTTTCAAGAATACTTACATTTTTCATACTGATGCAGTAGGAAGAAAGCAGCGAGGCAGCATCTTAGCGAGAACAGAGGTAGAAGCAAAGTGCACAGTTATCCAGTATGGCAACTTATGAAGGAAAGTTTCGATTCTCGAAATTTGAGTTACTTTTTTGAATTTTTAGTTTTACATTAACTCTTGTTACCTTAGACATCTTATCATCATTAAACTTCATAATATTGGACTTATTACCTTCATTAACTATTATACCTTTAGACACATTATTTTCATTAGATATATTATTTTTATCAACACTTATTATATCAGAGATATTACTTC